TTATCCACTAACGACGAACGACGTGGTCACGGCGGTTTAATCATCGAGACCGTCACGATTTTTGGCACTTGATCTCGCTCGTCGTCCACGCGTGGTCTTTGGCGAAACGCTCGTAAACATATACGAATCAAGAGGACGAACCCTTTTCCGCGTATCCTCGCACCCTTTCGCGCCGGGGCAGGCCGAGTCGGGTGGAACATTAATATCGCGAAATGAAGCTCATTTGCATATAAATAAGGCGGTGGTGGGGCACGGCGACGGTGGGGCGAGGGAAGCCAGGATGAACCACCCTGCTGCTCCGCTGCACCCCCTTCTTTTGCCCTCCCTTATACCCCCGAGCCTCGACTCCCCAGGAACCCCACCCTGGACTAATTACACTTACAGACAAAGCGGCCTGAACCGAGGGGTCGAGCGGATTCTGTCTCTCGCTCTCTCGATTCCTCTCCCTCCCTCTCTTTCCTTCTCTCTCTCCCTCCTATTCCGCTTTCTCCCGCTCTCTCTCTCTCTCTCTCTCTCTCTCTCTCTCTCTCTCTCTGCCTTTCTCCTGCATGACTATCTCCACGATTTCTCTCTCGCTCCCTGCCAAACCGTTCCTGCCTACCTTCCTAGCTGTCTTTGTTCTGTCCTTTCTGTAGAGAGAGAAGGAGAGAGAGAGAGAGAGAGAGAGAGAGCAGACCCTCTGCCACTGTCTCTCGCTGGGTTTCCACTCCCGATAACACCCTTTCGCAATGACCACGTGATAATTGCAACCCCCCGCAGAGAGCAGGATTCGTTAGAATCCTTAATCGTGAAGGAAATTCATCGTTTTCTCGCCTTCTCGCGCCTCCAAGATGACGCGTATCGAGCGACTCCAAGTAATTATCGACCCCGATCGATCGCGCGATCACCGCCGATCAAACTATGCGACTACTTTTAACACGGTGAAGTGGACCAAATGGAGATTGTAATTGTAATTCTCAGATGTAATTCTCAGAATCGCAAGGGGTCAGTCTCAACATCGCCGAGTATCGATTTGTTATTCACGCGAAGGTCCACGATAGGACTTCGAAGAACCGTTTCTCTCTCTCCCGACGATTTCGATCACGGCGTGTCTCACTCACGCGGAACGAAGCCCTCGCGCGACTGTGTAGCGGCGTTCTCCGCCGAAAAATCGCTCAATTTTCATAACGGCTAACAGTGCCGCGCTCGACAAATCGATCGCCCGGGTAGGACCAGCCGCGACCGAAGATGGGATGAAATGGCGCGGCGCGGCGGGGCGTTTCAGAAAGAAACATAAAAATGCATATTACCGATTCCGGAATACGGCCATTAGTCTGAAGTCAGCGCCGCTATCGTTTATTAAGCGCAAACAGATATTAATGTATTTTTACACGCGCCCACGGGTTTCGTTCTACCAGCCGCCGCCGCCGCCGCCGCCACCGCCGCCGCCGCCGCCGCCGCCGCCGCCGTCGCTGCCACTGCCGCCGCCGCCGCCGCCGCCGCCGCCGCCACCGCCGCCGCCGCCGCCAACGCAGCCCGACGCCGCCGACGCCAAACTACAGAGCGTAGTTCGCGCCGGGGTCGAAGCCAAATCCAATTACTTTTATTCGGGCGAAATGAGTGCAGCTAAGTCATTAATACTAATCAATGGACCGGACCCGAACCAGCCAGCTAGAGCGCACAGGCTCGGGCGTTCCACAGGAATTACCCATAACTCAAACGGCTCGAAATGACTTTATTGCAAAAAACTTGCGCTTTGCTGCCGGCCACGCCGCTTCTCCTCGTATACGCATTGTTAGAGAGACCCCCCCCGCCGATAAGTAATGTTTATTGTTGCATTTCCAACGACCAACCGAACGAACGCTCTCCTCGCCCTCCTCCCGCCGGCCGTGTATTTTTTTCGTGCCTCCCACTGGCCGTTCGTATTCACCGCCGGCAATGAGAGGTAGAGAGAGAGAGAGAGAGAGAGAGAGAGGTAGAGAGAGAGAGAGAGAGAGGTAGAGAGAGAGAGAGAGAGAGAGAGAGAGAGAGAGAGGCTCCAGCCCAGTTTTTCGCATTAGCGAGATGGCCTATAGACGAGGGCTAACGATTTTTCATCGAGCGTGCGACCGATTTCTCCCGGGGAATTTAAAGCGTCGACAATGGCGAGACCAACGGCGCGGGTGACGCGAACGGCTCTTTTCGCTCGGCCCGGTTGCGCACAGCTCGATCACGACCGTCGAATGGTCTTTGGATGCAAGTGAGGAATCAAGCGATGATTAGAAAGTGTGACTTTCCTGATACGTTGGGAAATTGTGCAATTATATAAAATCGGAGAAATTCACCGGACATACGCTCGAGAAATTAACGCTTGAGGCGTCCTCGACGATAACGTGTGTGTCGATGACACAAATACCGCGTCGTATCCGAGCGGAAGTGACAGAAAGAGCGGTTACTTATTTCCTCGTGAAATTCACAGAAACACCTCGGCTACGTAATGTCGATGAAAAAAACGGTGATCTCTCGCGTCGGATGAGCAGCCGCGCGGTGCGCCGCGATGCAGCGGCGCTGATTAATTTATGCGAAATATCGAAAGCTCGTAAACATATGTTTCCTACGGCTGGCTGTATATCGTACGCACTTTTACAAGCAAAATGGTCGAGCCTGTGCATTCAACTAATCCCCCTCGCCTCGTCCATTTAATATACGGTGGCCATACTGGCGGTATAGCCGTTTACGAATTTGCGTGGAAAAAAAATTGAACTGCCGTACCCCCTGCGCCTCCTATTTTCGTTCGTTACCTATCGACCGGGCTTTATCTATTTTTTATGCAATGAAATGCCTCGACCAGCGGCGTACGCAGTCCATTGTGCGACTTTGACGAAAATTCAAGCCGGGATTACAAGCCGCACCCAGAGGATATTCTCTTTTTATAAAAAAAAAGAGAGGAAGAGAGAGAGAGAGAGAGAGAGAGAGAGAGAGAGAGAGAGAGAGAGGGAGAGGGAGAGATTCGAGCTGAATATGATGAAATTGTCTGACGATACAATTAATATAATATTTACGAATACGCGGACGGGTTGTTTTATTTTATTTACTCGCATGCGGCTTCATTGCTTTTTCTTCCGAAAGAAGAACCGGGACGATTACACAGTGTCCAACGATTCAAAATGCAATCGTAGTTTATCTTCGATGATAATACTTGTGGCTAAGCACACAATTTTATCAAGACTCGACTTTTCGTAGTACATTACCGTTCTTGTTGGATACGATGCAAAATTACTCTTCAACGCTCTACCTCAAGTCAAGTTTCTTGAAATAAGCAACGATAGCAACAGCAACAAGGAAAGAGAGTCGGTCGAGAGAGTCGCGCCTCCGCCGAGGCGACAGACAGCAAAGAAGCTCCCCCGGGATTTATTCATAGGTCCGGCCACTCGCCGAAACTCTTTTTCCTGAATTATTCGAGTGTCGAAGCTCTAAAACGCTTAATCTGTATCCAACTATGGCGATACACGTTCCGGCATATTTCCATACCATTATGCAAAGAGGCCGCACCGGTAACATTACTCTCCGCAGCACAGCCACCACCATCGTCGATATACACTCGTGGTAGTAAAGCATTACGGCATATATACTCCATCGATTTATTATAATTTAGATTGTCTTCTAAGAACCTCGACTATACGCGCACACGCACACATGTATGTGTGCGTGTGTGTGTGTGTGTGTGTATACGGCGCGCCTTAATGTGCCGGCGTTCGTTAATTATTCCGCCGGTATTCCGTAAATATGCATGAATTATATATCTGCCGGCGCGAAAGCGGAGCGACGAGGGAACGCGCGATTAATACCACTTTTTTCGCCGTCGCGCGACGATTCTCACCTTCTCGCGATAATCCTTCCCGACGAGGTCGCCTCGCTCGTCCCTTCTCGGCGGAATTTTTGGAAAGTCACCGTATGACGCGCGGCGGCCCTATCGAATTAGTATTGATTAAATCGAGCGGTCGGCCGGACGACCGAGTTAATTCCAAAAATGTGTTATTGAGCGTGAATAGCTAAATCATTTTGCGCGCGCGCGCGCTCATTGCCGGATTATGTTTATGGGCAAGAACAGATATCAGAATAATACCGACGGGCTCGATTTTCATCGGCGCACGCGAATGATACTGAAATTAATACTGGATGATGATTATATCGGCACTTTGCAAGATTCGTCCCACCGTTGGCGTTTTGTGTTTCGACTTTTGTGCTCTTTGATACGCCGGGAAAGGGATCGCGCATGCGAATTTCTCGTCACCCCAAATATTCACGCTTGAAATAACTTAGAAAATGATCTGTCGGACGAAAGACGGGTGATTCGCCAATCAGAAAATGCTGAGTGAAATGCAATAGACACACGACATGCGTGTCGATGTGTGCGAAACGGACAATTTTATCACTCCTTGCGGTGTATTGCGATAATTATTGTCACTAATTTACTTCTTCTACTCCACATATCCCGTCATTGTTTGTTTCTCGCTTCTACCGTCCTGAAATGAAATATTTTAACGTGCGGCAGCTAGACCGTGAATGATTATTAATCAATTTTCGGCATTAAACGTGCCGCCGCAATAAAAAGCGCGGTACGTTAACGAACCACACGCGTATAATTGAGCGTTTCGGCAGGAATGATTGCTAGCTTGCGTTAAAACCTTTGCGTGGCCGTTCGATTGATTTTTGCGAGAGAAGGAACGACCCACGCGCTATCCTGTTTTGAAGAGCCAGTCACGTATCTGGTCTCTTGAAAATAATTAGCGATGGAATTCGGTCGCTAGCGCGATAATAGGCGTCCGATTGGTCTGACGTAACGTTGGTAATACAAATTTCGTCGATCGAAGAGTTCTTTCTTCTCCTCCTCCTCTTCTTCTTCTTCTTCTTCTTCTTCTTCTTCTTCTTCTCTTTTTTTCTTCTTTCCTTACGATCGTCGTACGCGCAATACCGCGAAAATTCAGGGTGGCTCATTTTCGAAGCGATTCCTGATCAGGACGTGTGTACATTTGTTGCAGGAGAGCGACAGGAGTAGCGCCGGAAGTCCCGAGCCGGCGACAGGTGCACTCCACGAGCACCAAATGATGATGGATGACCTGAAGAATTCACGGAAGAGACGACGGAGCCCATCACCCGAAAATCTTCATCAAGCGAAGCGCGCGGCGGTAGCGCAAGCTCATCTAAACGGGACGAGTGAGTACGAGAGCAACAGCTCGTTCGCGAACGCGTAACTACATACGTGTGTCTATACATGTGTGTGTGTGTGTGTGTGTCATTCGCTCGAGTTACCGATGCTTTTCCCTTCACGTTCTCTTCTCCTCGTGCGCAGTGGCCGGCATGGTGACGCTCCAGAATCTGCAGAACTTGGCGAATCTGCAAAATCTCCCGCAAGTCGCGTCGTTGGCGGCCGGGCTTCAAGGAATGACAGCGGGACTGACCAACAATCAATTGATCAACACTCCCTTGAACTTGACCGTCAGCTCGTCGGGTAAGAATCAGAGCGAACGCGAAACGGATCGAATCGATCCGAATGTCGCGTTCTCGCCGAGGATCTCGATGAGGCGACAAGGCGAATCGGACGCGGTGAAATCGTGCATTTCTTTTTTACTCGCAGGCGGAACGGTACCAACAGCCTCGAGTACGACGGCGGCCCCTCATCTTCTGCCACCTAGTTCAGCCCCAATGGCGACGTTACCTCAGCTATTATCTCAACCGCAACCAGTCGCGATGCCTCAATTCATCCTAACGTCCGGTCAATTGGTTCAGGGCATTCAGGGGGCTCAGCTTCTTATCCCCACTTCACAAGGTAAGTTCACTGAGCAACGGGACGTGCAACGGGAGCGCTGCCCCCGATGCTGTGACACAGTACGATTCTCCTCGCTCCACATATATTACCATCTTAATACGGACTCGTCGATCCCGGCCACCGAAATATTCGTGCGCCGTCTATTTCGATGTGCGCGCGCGCGCGCGCACGATGGACAATCTGCGAAATTACAAGTTCCCGGCGAAATTTCATCGACAATTTCCGCGCGCGAAATGATTGCACCTTCGTCCGACGGAACCCGCGCACCGCCCGCCCCGAGACGCGCTGTGCCCGCGCATAATGTTGTGCAATCAAGATGTGCCGATATATAATATAATATCGACTATCTCTGACCAGCTCGGACTAAGGCCGTCCCGTCGTCCATACTTAGTGGTCCTAGACTGCCTCGGCGAGCACAGGGCAAACTCTGCAACTAATTTCAATGTATAATTAACGTCTCACTACCCCCTTTCCAAGCCCACGAATCCCACCCCATCTCCTGCCTGCTTTCTCGGGTCCGCCTCCCTCTCCCATGCTCCTAACCCTAGCACTCACTGGCTGGACATCGCAGCTCCGCGGATTCGGCCGCTATTATATCGATTGCGGTCCGCGCTAACTTCGTTTCTACCAAGTTGGGTTCCTATTCTGGCAATCGGGAGAGCGAGAGAGAAAGAGGGACTGCGAGACAGAGAGATAGATAGAGCGAGAGCGAGAGACAGAGAGAGAGAGCGAGAGAGAGAGAGAGAGCGAGAGAGAGAGAGAGAGAGAGAGAGAGAGAATGCGAGGGATGGAAAGGGGTTGGGGGCGGGAGGGAGGGAGGGAGAAGGAGATAGAGCGCATGGTGTAGGCGGAGGGCGGCAAGCAGAAGGAGAACTTTGGGATTCCACCTAAGTGGATTGAAGTTCGTGGATATGGACCGGCCGCGGTAGGATGACGAGTTACGTGGCGGCAAATAATGTTTGCACTGCTTTTCGACTCAATCGATGGTAACTGACTAACGCTCGATTGGTCTCTGATAGACATGGAGTGTCGGCGAGGATGAACTCGAGGAGTACTCGAGAGTGCGGTCGATAGGTTGTCGTTCATAGAAAATCATTGTTCGCCGGAATGTCCGTAGCTTTATTCGAGAATGATATATCACAACCGGCGCCGAGAGATTTCATCCGTCCGGTCAATGCGATTACAGACCGAAAAACGACGAGGACGGAAATACACGCGCTGTGGGAGGTCGTGCACGTCCTGTGATCGTCAGGAACAAAAATAACATCCTTCGAATCTTTCTTTACATCCGGTATAAATAAATTTCCGATATTCGTAAGAGTCGAAAAATAGGAGGGGGATAAAGGGGTGAGGAAGGCAAGGGAGAGGAAAAGAGAGGGAGGGAGGGGGAAAGAAAGCTCTCGTTTACCCCTAACGCGACGAGCTACGTCGAGTAAACGTCCGCACGTTGTATATCTCTCGCGAGGTGTTGTATCGCCGACGACGAATTGAAATTTAAATGACGCGTTGCGCGCGCGAGATCGCTTAGTCCCGCGTCCGTCATGCCTGAGCGAAAAGCGAAAGCGCCGACAAGGTGTTATCGTCCGGTAACGTTTGAACTGCGCATTAATCGGATTGTCGGTTGACCTTACCTCAGAACCTGAAACTTTTATGGCTGTTCGGAATACGGGATTTGCTTAGCTTAGCTGTAGGTGGCAACACGGGTACGTACTCATGATCAGTAATCATATTAAGCGCGTGTACGGGGTAATCAGATTAGCGGAGCTGGAGGTAATCCCGAAACTATTCTAAGTATGATTAGGCGTCCTTCTCGCAGCGTAGTCCAGTGCCAGTACCTGTACCCACTATTAAGATGACGATAATAGTTTGCCAACTACGCTAGCCTGCGAGGTTACCTGCCCTATGGGTTGCCTAATAATCCCTCTATGAGACTCTGATAACTTTACTATCCATCCTGGATCAACGACGCGTGGACTATATACATAATGGAAATGAAGCACCATTGATTCGAGATACAATTATCTGGCGCTTGAGAATGCCACGATTAATTAATTCCCCCGACCCCCTGCCCGCCGCACACGTTGCCGGTGTGCGTACGCAACCTCCCGCGGGGAGCGCGACGTGTCGTCTTGAAAAATGCTTCTCCTTTCCTCAGGCATCGCTACCCAGACCATCCTGACCATACCGGTCAGTCACGTCACGAACAATCAGATGGTGAACTTGGCGCTGAGTAATGGACAGGTAGTTTCCACGACGCTGGCCAACCTTCAATCCCTAGCTCAACCGCAAAACATGCTTAACACGCCCACGAACAACGGTAAGTTCAGCGTTAACCAGTTCACTCGTATAATTATAAGAAGTGAGTCTTCGCGCGCGATGCGCTGAACGCATTAGCATCAGTGTGTTTCCTTACGCCTGGCCAGTGTGCGGCCAGCTGATGCGACGTTTATCTTTCTCTCCGTGTATAAACCCACGCTCTCATCACGCTGCCGTTAAATACTCTTTCCAGTGTCTCGTTTTTTCAACACGATTCGTCGCCGCGACGTTATCGTATGCGCTCGTCGCGTCGCCGTCGCGGGTCTTTCGTGATTCTTTCATCGCCGACGAAAGGCGACGAAAGGTTCAAAGATCGATCGATCGATCGATCGCGCTGAGAAACGGCCGTCTCCGATATTCGAAAGCAACGATCCGAGAATGCAACGTCAGTGATTCTCTTCACAATGCGCGTCGTCGGAGATCTCGCGAGAGAGAGAGAGACGCGCTCCGAGATCCGCTTCTTTCTCGGTGACCTCGAAATGTTTGCGACGACACGTCGCCGCGTCGGTTGCATCGAGAAACGGCCGGGATGCGTTAAGACGCTATGACTGCTCTGTTTACCAAAAGCCCGTGATTAGACACTGCATCGGATGTCGTACTACTTGCATTTACTTGTCCTTGTATCAGTTCCCACGAGCCCCAGCCTGGCATCGGGATTAGGACTGAACCCTGCCGCTTTGCCGCATCTTCTGAGCAATAGCTCGGCGAGCCAACAACTTCTGAGCGCGATGCAGCCTCAGCAACTACTTCAGGCTGCCCAAGCGGCGCAGGCACAAGCGGCGCAAGCCGTACAGGCCGTTCAGGCTTCTCAGCAACCACTCCTAACGACATCGCCTCAGCAGCACAGCCACCGACACACCTCGCATATGAATCATTACACAGTACGTATAACCATCCCCGACCCCATCCCGTAGAATTATTTTCCTTGTGTGCGTGTACGTGTGTGCGCGTGCGTGCGTGCGTGTGTGTGGGCGTGTGTGTGTGTGCGTGTGTGTGTGTGTGTGTGTGTGCGTGTGTGTGTGTGTGTGTGTGTGTGTGTGTGTGCGTGCGTGTGTGTGTGTGTGTGCGTGCGTATGCCGAAGCGCAACGGCGAGCGATCCGCATGGGTTTAACGTTTCCGAAGCTGTAAAAAAATTATTTTTTCACCAACGACGAAGAAACGAATCGAACGTACATATACGTGCCTTTTTTTCGGAGCGTGTTATTTTTCTTTCACGCATTATTCGACGCTCGGTTAATTAAGTAACTTTACGTGTTTTCGCAAACACGAAAACACATTTAATAGCAGAATTTTTCGTGCCGTGTTATCACAAAATTGATAGACATATCGCTATTTGTTGGAAAAGCAATATTTTTCTTTTACAATAAACTTCGTATTTCCGCGATAACGCGCATATTGTTGCGCGCATGTTGTTACGGAAACCTCACGCATTTCGCATTTTCGTCCCGATAACGACTCACCACGGCGTATCTGTGTATCTGTGTGCTCGTGCAAACTTGCGATTATCTCGATCGACAAGCTGATCGGCGGGTAAAATCCCGTCAGGTCAGGTCAGGTCAGGTCAGGTCAGGCCGCGAGGCATACGCCTCGCGGTTGTCCGCGCGTTGCTATTAAGATTTCTTCTAACGTCGCGTCGGCGTCGGCGTCGGCGTCGGCCGGCGCTCCGCGCCGTTCGAGACCGTAACCGCGGCGGGATCGACGAAGCAACCTGAATAATTCCCAATAGCGAGCGATATCTCGTTAAGAAAGTATTCCGCGCCGGCGGCATTCCTTCCACTAATTAGACTCTAAAGTGTCCCGGTCCGAGGTCCCGTCTCATTATTAAGTGCATAATTGGCGTGGAAGAGGAGCATTGTCGTTTCCCGGTGAGCTACTAATCCGCCCCCTCTCCCTTTGCTTACCGTATCGTTCACAGCCGACGGAAAAACATCACAGAGAGAGGCTGGAGCAGTCGTCGCCTTTGAACGAATCCGTAGTGTCCGCGGCATCCGCTTTGAACAGATTGGCCGCCAGTAATGGCGAGATTACTATCACGACGACGCATGGACCTGGCGGTGCCGGAATAAAAGCTTCCCCCAGCAGTATGCACAGTCCGAAGGAGGAGGAGGATGATCTCTTGAATGATTCACCGAGTAAGGCACACATATATACGCACTTTATTTATTTTATATTTCGCCTCTACATCTCGTAGCGATATATCAGTCAATGAGGTCGGAGACGGGGAATCGGCGCGGAATAGGGCTCTTGAGTCGGGGAGGAGAAGAGACAGCGCGTTAGAGTCAGAGGGAGGAAGCGAGAGCGACAGAGAGCGACAGAGAGAGGGAGAGAGAGAGAGAGAGAGAGAGAGAGAGCGAGGTCCAAATGACCCGTGTCAAGTGGTGTCTCGTTCTCTCGCTCGATCGTGGCCGGTGACGGTGGAACGACTTTTAAAGCGATGCTCACTTGCCCGTGCGAAAATGATAATCGAGCGGTCCGCGCGCTCCTCGAAGGTAGCCGCGCGCGTTTCACTCCTTGACAGCTTTTAATTACAATTCTCGCGGGAGAGAGAGAGAGAGAGGGAGAGAGAGAGAGAGAGAGAGAGAGAGAGAGAGAGAGAGAGAGAGACACCGTCTTCCTATAACGCAATCATCTATCTCGCCTATACGAAGCGCGACTCGACAAGTGATTGCATGCATAATGATCACTTTTAAAGTAGCAATTACCACATGCAAAAGCGCATGTCCCGTATTTTTACGGCGCGCCGTGCGGCGCGCGCTCGTATCGCATTCTGCGGATACTTTTGACAAGATCCGCGCGATCGCCGCTCGTGAATTCGCGTACAAAAACGCACGCTTCCATTTAGCAAAGAGAGAAAAGAAATATACGCTCGCGCGCCGCGCGAGAGCGCCGGGGCTCCTCGTTCCTCTCCGACGTGGCGCTCTAGGCGGCAGCGAATTGTCGCCATTGTCTATCCCGGCGCGGCGCGGCGCGGCGCGGCGCGGCGGAGGGAACGATTTAATGTTTAACGCGCGCTCTCTCGCGCGCAAGCAGAACGGCGGCAGATATAATAATATTTCGAACGAGCGCGCATCGATCGCGCGCGCACGTGTGCGCTTGATAGCTCTAATAGGATATCGCACAACACTGGGCTCATTACGCGGCATTAGTTCGTTCCTTGCTGTCTTCTAGGAAGCCATAAAGATTCCAGCGACGCGCGTAACCCTCGCGAGTTGGCCGACAATAATTTTAATAATTCACAATCATCGCGCGCGACGGCCTGGCACTTCGTCATCCCGTCGCGATGGAATAATCATCCCGGCGCGCGAAGCCTAACGATTCTCAATTGTCCAGAGAGCCAGCCGGGAGCATTACTTCATAAATATCTGCCTTTGTTAACCCGTCTCCGATAGAATCTCGGTGATCTCGCAGAGATCACGCGAAAGCGCGACAAGCCGAGAGAAATGATGCCTCGCTTCGCGATATGTACTTGGTTACCAGCTTTGCACGCGAGCGAACAAGCAAGTGCGAATGATTCGGCGATGCGTCTCGCGATTTTTTTCTCGGCCGAGAGAGCGAAGAAGAAGCGGTCTCGCAAGCGGTCGTTTCCGGCCCGTTCGGTGTGCAACTGCGATGTATGTATGTATGTGCACACGAAACTCGTCAGTCATCACGCAGGTCGGCAGCGGCCGCGGTCCTGCGAAATTTGCGAAGCGAACGCCAACACGCCGCGCCGGTCGGACGGTCGAAGAAAATGAACGATCGTAGAGAGACTGCGTCGCGGAAGAAGGATTTGCAGTTTATCGCGCGCCGCGCGTAGAAACCAGGCGGAGCTGGTCGAGGTGTGGGCACTGCTATTGCGCGTGCCTATACATTCGGGGTGACAGATTTACGAGAGAAATCGGTGTAGAGCTCGCGAGCCGCTTTAACGAAGCCGCCTGATGTCATTAGGCGGCCTTCTCGCCGGAGCTCCGGTGCGTTCCGACGAATCGATTGAAACGTGCGGCCGAACGACCGGAGCAGCGGGTCCCTAACTTGTTCAAAATGCACCATTAGAGTCACTATAAAACTGATCACGTGGGACGCGCGGGGCTGCCGACGGCGGTGCTTATCGCATTAACCCCTTGAACCGCGAATACTTCATCTCTCGTTCGCGACCGGCGCGGTATCGTTTCCGCAGCTGGCTCGCGACGCGACTCGTGTGTAATTGCGGACTCGTCGAGCTGTGCGTCTCCCGCCGAACAGCTGAACTGAATTCGCCACGCGAGAGCAATTCTGTCTGATACTGGTTCAGGTGTCAGTATCAGCTTCGTCACTAACGATTTGGTTCTTTTCGCAAGTAGAAACTGTTTAACCGCTTAACTGGAACTACCGAGCGCTCCGAAATGACTGCTTTGTAACTTGCTCGAAAAATTACTCGATGATTTACATGATGACGCATTTTATTGTTTGATTACTTTTATCAACGAGCGTTGTCAAGACTGAGAAATTAAGACTGAAGAGAGTCGACATCGACATCCTTTTACCCTTGCGTGCGCAATGTGCGTTCCTTCGGAAATCTGTCATTTTCACCGCTCCGGTAGAAACAGGTGGCGCCGATAGTAGCATCGATAGTTGCAGTGTTAAGAATCCTTGCGATCCTTCCTTCTTTCACTTTTTTTAATAGATATAGGCTTTTAAGGCCGACACGACGAGAGAGTCGGTGGACGCAGATGTTCTCGCGTAATATTCTTCTGAATCTTTTTTGTGACTCGCTGCCTACATCTTGGCTGAGGAGGATCCGCGTCAAGATTGGGACGTCCTGCGACTTGGAAAAATTCCGAAGAATATTACGCGATCTGTGCTATTCGGGATTGATCGACCCCGAAAGCTTACATCGATTTGAATTTTCTCGCGAGCGAATCGCTTCTGATTTTATTCTGATTCTTTGTTATTCTTATTGTGAATCGGAACACACACACACATACACACACACACACGTACGTGCCACAGGACATAGCGTGAGTTTCCTTTACAGACCAGCCAACGATTAACGAGGCCACTAACAACGTGGTCGATGGGATCAATTTGGATGAGATCAAGGAGTTCGCCAAGGTGTTTAAACTGCGCAGACTGTCTCTGGGTCTGACACAGACCCAAGTTGGGCAGGCCCTGAGTGTCACCGAGGGGCCCGCGTACAGCCAAAGTGCCATATGCAGGTTAGTACGTCGTGCGTCCCCCTCGCGCTGAAACGGACGTCGCTGATGAGAACTCAATGATTAAGTAGAACTGTGTAAAAACGACAGTGTGCCAGGTCACTGGAAATGGCGTAGGAAGGGTTCGGATTTTGTTTCGGAGTAGCGACAAACTACTTGCTTACTCGTACTCGATGGTTTCGCAAGAAGCATTTTCCGTTAGGGACGAGAATCAACAGCAATCTCAGTTGCTGTACGATTAGACTCGTAAGAACATTTCGAAGCAGCTTTACGCTTCTCTTTCTTCGTCTTCTTTCTATCTTCCGTTCCTCGTGTGTGACGATCGAGCGGTCGGCAAAATTACAATAAGCTCCCGCGCGTTCACTCGTCGACGTTTCGCGAAGTGAAATTCGTTGTGAGAAACTCTTCTACAAGTACCTGACAAGTAGCTTCCACAGGCGCGTTGTATCGTTCTATTTGCAAAAACACCATGTAATGTGAACTTGTATCCATACCACGTAATCCACCACGATGGTTCCTGATTTGTGCCGCATGTTGATAAATCTGGACTCGGTTGCCGACGTAATCGGTTAGGGAGAGCATTCGGTCGCGCGATCATAAAAATCCTTGCAACGTTCGACAGGCTGAACGCTTCGTCGATACGGGCTTTCGCATCAAACCGTGCCGTGCTACTTATGTTGCCTCCGATCGCGGGTGTCCTCGAAACGCAAGCGGGAACCACCGTGGTAATAATACTGGTAGCAAGCCGAGAAAATGTTTATACCTCTTAGAATTCTTATCGTATCGACTAACATAAGCATTGGTGATTGTTCCCCAGTGCCCTGGCTACCCAGATGTACGCTGCCTCGCAGATTGCCTCTCAGCAGCAAGCTACGTACGTTCACACCCCTCATGCTACTTAATTCACCTAAAAATCTAAAACTCTAAAATCCTCTAAGAAACCGCAGTTATACCCAACGCTGGCAAATCGAGCAGCAACTTCTCGACGGTCGTGAGAGAGAAGGACCCTTGAAAAGAGAGAGAGAGAGAGAGAGAGAGAGAGAGAAAAAAAGAAAGAAAGAAAAGAAAAGAAAAAGAAAAAAAGAACAAGGGATAGAGTCAAAACTCGGTCGGTACTTTGTGGAATCGGCGAGTAATCGGCGCGTTGTACATCGCGTATAAAAACAAGACGGACGATCCCGATAAAGAATGTTGTCCTCCACCTCCACCTACTTCCTTCTTGACTTTGCCCGTCACTTTGCGCTCGTCCGGTTTGCAAATCGCGATCCCTTTCTCCCGTTTAGAAGCGACGGGCATATTTGGGTATAGCTGCAAGCACTCTCACTAATTTCTAATTTCGTTCGGAAAAGAGATGCGAAAGGAGCACTTCTAAAATTAACTCTCTTCGAGCCAGGGCATTGGCAAACTTGGGCATGATGTCGCCAACGCGCTAAGAATTCAAGAAAAAAAAAAGAAAAAAAAAAGGAAAAAAGACGGAACGCGGAGCCGAGCAACAAGCGCGACTCCGACGCGCGTCGGTGTCCAAAAGCTCCGGGCAACACCGGGCGATCACGATCGTCGGGAGAACTCGAAGTCTCACTTCGCTCGTCCGCGCGATCGAGCGCGCTCGCGCAAGTGCGTTGGCAACATCATACACGGCATCACCAAACCTTAAAGCATGCACGCATTGTCAATGTCCTGTTATTGAATCAATGCATGCCTTAGTGCTCCTTTATATAGCGCGACAAAGACGTAAGGGCGAGGGAGAGCAAACATTCGAAGAGAACGAACATCTCGAACGAATACTCTTGCCGATGCTCGAAGTACCCCCGACGCCTTGCGCGTCGTCGGCGCTTGTGCTTGGGTGCTTCGTCGACAGGTTTTTACGTCCTTGTCGCCCTCTCTCGACATTCGTTTCTCCCTCCGTCGTCTTTATCAATCTACCATGAGATAAGGAAAACGGAAAACTGGATCAAGCCCTGTTCTTGGCTTTAGATTTGAAAAGCTGGACATTACGCCGAAAAGCGCGCAGAAAATTAAGCCCGTACTCGAGAGGTGGATGAAGGAGGCGGAAGAGAGGTGAGTAGAACCCTTACGATACTTGATTCAATTATCGAGGAGATAGTCGCCGGATTTTTTTTTTTCGAAACAAAGAAAAAAGGAGAAAGAAAAGTACGATCGCCCGTTATCGTTTCGTTCCGACGCGAACAAAGATGCATCTTGAGACGCACCTGAATCTTTACGAACGGTACAGAAGAAACAAGTAGCGAGCATTCGTTCTCTCTCTCTCTCTCTCTCTCTCTCTCTCTCTCTCTCTCTCTCTCTCTCTCTCTCTCTCTCTCTCTCGAGTGAATGAAGAAGAAAGAGATAAATGCAATTTCGCGATAAATGCCGTGGGAAAGTCACTCTTTTCGAGAGACATACGCTCGTACGCCGAAAGTATATCACGAGCGCGAAATGTTCTCCGCGTGTGACGCGCCGCGTGTACGCGTAAACACGTAGCAATTAATTTGAGAAACGACTGGAATTTGCCGGCAGGTCGGCCGAGTCCCTCGATTACGCGTCGAATCCTAACGCCGTATTTCTGATACACGATTATTTTGCAATCGCAGCTCGCGCGGCGCACGGCCTCGACTTGGCGTCCGCGGTGTCGGGGCCCGAGAGCGTGCGAACGCGTGCGTGCTAATTGGTAATTCGCTAATTGAATCCGCCTGATTAATTGCGGATCCGCGTCTAATAAATACGCGGAATGTTAATTAGAATGGGAGAGAAACCGTTACCGCGCGCGCGCGATCGCGGCGCGGCGCGGCCACCGATGACGCGCTTCGCGCGCGCGCGCCTCGCGGCGGATCTACCGATCGCGCACCGCGTCCCGTCGTCGTCGTCGTCGTCGTCGTCGTCGTTGTTTCATCTCGTCGTCTTGGCCGACGTTAACGTTATTCGCGAGGTGTAAATTTTACGAGCCGATAAAATGTAATGAACCGCGAGCTAATCGGAAATTCACGCCGCGATTAAAACGGATCGCGACGCGGAGCGCAGATGCGCTTTTATAACGCGCGCGAGACGCTCTTTTCTGATCTTAAATTAAATTGATCGGGCAAACGACGCGACGCGACGCGCTGTATCCTCGTTCGGCCATCGCCGCGCGCCGATTTCTATCATTATTGCTTAATTAGCGTGTCCAATTCTAGCGTTGCGCGCGTGTAAGAGGGTGAGGGGGAGAGAGAGAGAGAGACAGAGAGAGAGAGAGAGAGAGAGAGAGAGAGAGAGAGAGAGAGAGAGGAAGGAACTAAATATTATAGCTCGCATTCAGTTACCAATTTAGCGCTAAATATAGCGGCATAATTCTCAAGCCGAGATAGCATTGTACGCGCGATTCCACCGTGCTGAAACTAACGAGACACAGAGAATCCGGCGACTGTGTTTAGCGCAACGAGCAAACGCAAAGATACGAGTGCGCAAATTTGCAAACACGCGCTCGTAGGCAGAGTTCCGTTTCAACGATCATCGACAAGATAGCCGTCGCGACCCGGAACTTTCTTCCGGCGCAATTCGGCCCCGTCGCGAAAATCGCGAACAGAGCGTCTTGAGATGCATCGACGTTAAATGAATGCCGCAAATATCGAGCGGATCAAGTAACAGCTCTCGTTCGACACTCGTCCTTTCTTTACGAGGATCAATGAACAAATACAATTCGCGGCATAAATGCCGCGGCGAGATATCTTCTTTCGCTGCAAACAAAGCGCGACGCTCGATGAAAAGGGGGAATCTACGCGAATCGGCCGCAAACGTTTATCGGCACAAAGGAAAGCGCGTGTCCCGGCGATCGTCCGTGAAGCACGGCGACAACCAGCGCGCTCGAATCCACGGCGGAGGAAGAATCGACGGGGAAGCCCGCGACGCGCGGCACAATCGAGTGATTCGATGACGGAAGCGGCGACGATGCGCGCGGCACGCTCGTTTCTCTTTTCACGGGGGAGCCGGCGCAACAATGACCCATCCTGCATTCGCGCGGCGTAGAACTAAGCGTCGACCGTGCGCCGGCCGCGTCCGGGAAAAATGAAAGCGGCTAGTTTATGCGGTGCACGTGCACGATTTATCTGCCGAGTAATTAAACTGTGGACTAATTAAAATCAGGTTTCTGATGTACCTCTCCTCTCGCGCGCGCGCTCGCTCGCTCGCTCGCTCGCTCTCGCGCCTCTCCTCCTCCTCCTCCTCCTCCTCTTCCTCCTGCTCCTCCCCCTTGTTCCTCCTCTTCCTCCTCCTCCTCCTCCTTCTCCTTCCCCTCCCCCTCGTCTCCTTCTGCTGCCACACCACCGCCGTCACCTCGCTCTTACCGGCGCGGCGCGGCGCGGCGGCACCGTGAAACGGCACGACGTTCTCTGTCGTTCCTTCCATTCACCGCCTGCCTCGCAGTCTTCCTTTCTCTCCTGCGCGTTTCCACCGTCCTTCTGCTTCCGTCTTTCTTCCACCTCTCGTTCGTTCGGATACCTCCACCACCCGCGTCGCCCTCGACTCACACCTGTAACGCAACACACAATCCAGCACAGTGTGTATGTGTGTGTGTGTATACACCCACGTACGGATTTACACGCGGCTCCCCTCCGTCCCGGCGTCGTCGTGCCCTTACGTATTAACTCGCGTTCGTTTCTTCCCTTTCTTCGCTTTTCCTCTTGACTCCTACCTACCTACTTCTCCTCGTGCCCGACGTTTCCCTCCTGCGCTCGCTAGTCACCGCACACATACACACACACACACACACACATACACGCGCGCGCGCGTACGCACATACCAACGACCAGTCGCCGACCAACCCCGTCGAATTGTCGCGTCGGTTCTTCGCGCTCTCCCACCGACTTCTCCATTAGCATATTGTTTTCGCGAATTCGACGAAATATTACCGCGCGATGCTAATGGCCCGGCGTGTACTTTTTTCGGTCGACTCGACAGTTGGTCATTTGGAGTTAAATTAAAAACATAAATTTTGAGCCGGTACCCGCGACACCCGTAGCTACCTACGAGTTGTGCACCGCACACCATCGAGCCCGCCGCACACCCCCGCGGTACAGCCAGCCCGAACCGCCTCTCATCGCTCACTCGCGAGTCCCAACGGAAGTTCTCCTGTTTACTGTCGCGGCCACGAGCTTTTTCCATGTCGCGCCGCGCCGCACCGCACTATCCGATAATACTATCCGTCAAATGAAATTACGTCGGCATAACGCCGAAAAAGTTTGCCCACCCTCGAGATCGGGTCTTTCCCGGGATGGAAGAGCGCGCTAAATTTCTTCCGGCTTATTCGCCCGATTGTCGGAAGTGGGACCTGACGATGTAATCGAGCCTGCTGAACAGATGTGTGAGAAACTACAAATCAGTTTTCAGTGAAAAGTCCCGCTAGTTTTGATCGAACTTCAAACTCTTGGAAAATGTAAAAATTCTTAAACCAATTCTTGGATTTAAAGTCCTTGGAAATGACACTTGTTTAATTAGAAAAAAAAAACATTACACGGAGTGTTGATTCTATTATTCGGCGATTAACGCGTTTTCCTCAGATCCTAAATTTCCAAAGACGCTCATTCGACCGCGATAGAAATGCTAAGGATATTGCAGGACCATCTCTTTGATATCCAATAATCGTTGAAAAACGTATATACACACACACACACACACACACACACATATAGACGATATCTATGACGGTACATAGACACAAAAGTTGTCCAAGACCGGCTCGCCGATTAGCGAATAAAGTGTGAAGTGACGGGGTTTGGAAAGCGTGCGGCGACTATTCGATCGTTAATTTTACTTGAGCCAACGTCGACGCCAACGTCGTCGCCGTCGCCGTCGCGGTCGCAACGAGCGATGTTTCGCGATGCATGGAATAAGTTCGACTCGTGAATCAACCGGATGTGTACACGGGAAAAATCCAATACTGTACAGGATATTTGCGACCGAACGTGTCCGGACACGAATATCGTGACGCCGGCCGGCGATTTCCTTTTTTAATCAGTATCCTATTTCACGCTAACGTAATTACGAGCGTGCAAAACGGTAAACAGAATTATTTTTTTCCATATTGGATTTATAACAATATTTCGCAAACCGCAAGAGAGAGAGAGAGAGAGAGAGAGAGAGAGAGAGAGAGGGGGGGGGGCGAGAGGGAGACGTCGAACTCAATGCAGAGAACTCGCGGACGTAATTAATTATTGCGAAAGCACGGCGATTAACCGGCCCGGACTTTTTGAACGGGATCCTATTTCGCGGCTGTAATCGCGAGCGGGAACGTATGTACTTTCTCACGAAAGTCGACGCACGTGGCGTAACGTTACGTAAACGCCGACACGATGATGCAATCTTCCGAATTTGACCAAGAGTAGTGCATGTGATTACAGGTATAAGAGCGGCGTTAATCATCTGACGGACTTCATCGGGGTCGAGCCGAGCAAGAAGCGAAAACGGCGGACCTCCTTCACGCCGCAGGCTTTAGAATTGCTGAACGCACACTTTGACAGGAACACTCACCCTACCGGTCAGTTTCGCCGTTTGTCGCGCGATCACATTAGTCACTTTTAGTCGTTTCGAGTCCGTGACTCGCGCGGTACGCATCAGATGCGACGATTTTTCTCTTCTCCTTGCAGGCAATGAGATCACGACCCTGGCGCATCGGCTGGGATACGACAGGGAGGTGATAAGGATCTGGTTCTGCAACAAGAGGCAAGCTCTGAAGAACACGGTGAGGATGATGTCCAAAGGAGTCGTATAGGGAAGAAGTACATCCACCGATCAAACGAGCAACATATGAGAAAAGCTTCAAGATACGGGCGACGAGGAGGAGCGCGTCTCGTGAAGCTTTTCGAATTGCCACGTCTCTTCGCGCAGAATAAAACGAGCAGGATCGCGCACGAGGCCGATACTTCCGTGCACCGTTCCGGAATAAAGAAAAAGAAAGAGAGAAAGAGGCAGAAGGAGAGGGAGAGGGGGAGAGAGAGAGAGAGAGAGAAAGAGAGAGAGAGAGAGAGAGGCGCGATTATTGAATTACTATTATCAAGCCGGCACGGGAAGATCGTTCCAGATCGCGCGAGCGGAGTCCTTCGAATATTGTGATCGCAGGTGTATACGAGGTCTATATGTAAATAGCTTTAATCTACGAATATGTGATGTATACATGAGTCGAATATCGAGAACTGATAATCTAAAATCGTTGTCTCTCTCATTTGGTACCAATTCGTCGCGCGCTTCCAATTTTCATAGATATACATCTAACGGAGAGCACTGACTAGCTGATCCAATTTCGAGTTTCGAGCGAGGCAGTTATCGACAATTGGTAAGCATTAACGAATCGACGGACGTAAATACCTCGACGATCGAGATTACCGCGGGGCCGTTTATCATGCAACGATGGAAAAACCGCTTCCAGACTTTTCTAATTAATTGCAGTTGCTCGATCGCGCGCGGACAACTCGTCGGGATACGTACGTCTATCGGAACACGTTCCATCTATCTACCTATCTATCTATCGAAACCGGGCGGAGAGATACTATATTGATCGTCGCACACAGATAATAATGATTCATAGAAATTCAACTATCTTCACAAAACGAAACCGTAATTTACCGTGAGCGAGGGAAAGGAAAAAGAGCGGTAAGGCGGCACGCGAGCGCGACGTGCGTTCCGCGGCGCGAGCAGCAGCTCGCAGATGCAATCGATACATAATCGACTGGCGTAACTGATCGAAGCAAACGCACTCAAAATCGTAACACACTCGAAGGGCGGCAATGTAATCGCGCGCGGCGAAGAACCGCGACCGAGTCCGATCGTGGAGATATCCTGAAATATCATTGTTGCTCGTTGAGTTGCGCAAAAAAGTAACGAAAAAAAAAAAAGACAAATAAAAGAAGCATCGCTTAAGTAAAAGAAAAAAAATAATAATAAAACGATCATCACGTCTGTACACCGATTGTAATATCATCCCCCGCATGTATACACACACGATTAGAACACGAGCACGATAATATTTCTGTGTCATAGCGTTTCGACGGGAAAGAAAAGGAAAAGAGAACGAGAGAGTCGGTCGAGAGTTTTTAGCGCGCGCGCGTGCGAGAGGTACTGTAAATTACACGTGTATCTAGAGATCAATGAAATTCCTTTAGTGACTAAATAACGCAATAACGTCTTTGAAAGTATGCTACGAACGATTATGTACCACATGCCACACTACCGACGCTCCTGAAGTTGTATTTAATCCTGTAGGAAAAAAAGAGGAGACGGGTTTAGGAGACAGACAGACGAGGGATTCGAGTATCTGCAAAACTAGTCCGTAATAATCTGCCATGTAAGACGTATACGTGTTAAATGAGCACGCATCCTCCGTTCCTATAAATATTAATGCGATCTGCTTATTCGCTGAATAACGTTAAAGTTCGGACGAAAACTTCGACATTACCAGAGCTCGACTCCGATCTGCGGGATATTTGACAGACATAATTCTTCGATTACGGAATATGCTTCTGTGTGTGTGTGTGTGTGTGTGTGCGTGTGTGTATGTTTGCGTATGTGTGCGCGCGCGTATGTATGCATGTATGTGCGCGAGTGTGTGAATGCGTGTGGGTGTGCGTGTGAGTGCGCGCGCGTCGCCTAATTCCTACTTTCATTTTCAACGAGGTGTACTTATGGTCGCGCGAAACAGAGGGAGAGAGAGAGAGAGAGAAATGGATCGAGATATCGGACAGATTCTATTCGCGTATTCTTTCGAGCATAGTTGTACGCGACGGTAGCTAATTGCAGACGCGCGATCTTGAAATCGGAGAATTATTTACGCTTTATCGTGCCCCCTTCTTCTTAAAGAATCGATTATTATCGTAAATAAACGTAAATAAACATGGCCATGTAAAATCTTCCCGTACTCTATAGCGACAATTCTAGATTTGATTTGCATGCGTTACTAACGCACGAACGCATTTTTACGTTTGGCGCGGTGATTTAGCGAGACGCGATCCGCAGTCGTTTCTTCCGCATAAGACGGTATTTAAACGAAGCCCTTAAAGTACGGTTTTCTTCATATCTAGCACACGAGTACGTTTTAATGAGTAAGATTGTGCATAAAATGTACTTCATCCTCTTTGTAACGGGGGCTACTCGCTACGACACTATCGCGAAATCTTTAACTTGACGCCTAGCTAGGGGCGCAACGATAGCCTGTACATAATACAATACACTTAGGCATTGTAATATTATAATTAACTTTTATTATTATAGCTATAAAATAGCTGAATTCATGCAAAATAAAATTTACATGGTTAAAAGAAATAATAAATTTCTAAAAGTAAAAAAAAGTATTTTAAGGTTTTACTTTTAAGCCTGAGACGAGCAAAGTGATCTGTTCCTAAAAAGTTGTATTATAAGAGTAAACGATAGGGTGAAAGGCGCGGGTGAAGTTGGGTAAAGGGTATAAGGGCGGAATAAAATTCAAAATTCAAAATTTTTATTAAAGGACGGGTGAGGAATGTATATGTTATCCTTTTTGATAAAAGAGTGAAAACGTTTGTACAGAAATATTCCGGTTATTAAATTTTGTTATATGAGAGAGCGGGAGAGAGAGAGAGAGAGAGAGAGAGAGAGAGAGAGAGAATGAGAGCAAAAGAGAACGAGAGAAAGGGAGAGAGAAAAAAGAATAAAGAATAAAGCGTCGCCGGAGTGACGCGCGGTGGTGATAAAAATAAAAACGCGGAGACGGTTTTAAGAACCATGTGTATTTTCTTCGTGAAATTGAAATATTCAAATAGATCCTTATGAAAATATAAACATGAGTATTACAAAAAAAAAAAAAACATGTGAATTGTATTCGTGAGTGTCATATTTCTAAGGAAGATAGATCCACGGGCGAATGTTTTATAGCAGTTTCCAGAATCGCTTGTTTTATCCGGTAATTTGCGCCGATCAAAAATATTTCACATAATCTAACAACAGATAGTTTACTCGTAACCGGGAATAACGATGAACAAAGAAAAAAGAAAAGAAGAAGACGAAGGAAAATGAAGGAGAGGGAGAAGAAGAAATAAGCACATCCGGAAAAAAGCCCGTGCGGTGTCACAAAATAATAAAGTCACGAATCAATAAGAGGAAACTGCTCCTGAAACATTGCCCAGCGAAACCAAAGTTCCTACTACGTTTTATAAAGTATATAACTGAACTGCAGAATTTGAATTGTAAATACGCGCATGAGGGCCGCAACGTTAAACTAATAATAACCACGATACAATCAGCAATTTAACGATGCTAAAATACGACTAGCCGATCAATTGATTCGACGTTGCCACTGTCGGAGAACATCGATCACGCCTCATTAACGGAGAGAAAATCGTACAACTCGGTAAGCTGCCTTCGTCGAAGACGGGAATCAATTGATCAATGGCAAACGAAATAAGCACACAGTCGGCAATTAAGCACATAAGTATACAACTAAACTAAGCAGCCGTAGCTTTAGCTTGAATGTTAGCATCTAGGCACACACGATGTAACATTAAATTACGTATTTAAATGAAGGACAAGAATTTTAGCCGTTAAGTGAATACCTGTGTAAAATTTAGTAGGTGTCCACAAGAATAAAATAAAAACATATATTGTGGTACAAATAACAAAGAAGTCTGTGTTGCGGTTCTTGGCGCGATTTTCGCGATCGGTAACAATATTCTATATCTCTTGCAATAACGTGATTGTTAGTGAATGTAACTTGCGGCAGCAACATCTATAGAAATTCCTTCTCGAATATCGTCTTTGTTCAAAGTTCAAAGAGATAGAGTTTCTCTCGCTCTAATAAATTCAGGTATTCAAGCTTGCAAATCATCGATTATTGCTCACAATTGAATCTCACTAAGCGCTTGATGCTAAACAAACGATACTTACCTGATGGTAAGAAACGAAAGATGACGGTAAGAATCATTGTAATCTCAAAAATTGTTTGATACATGTATACAATACATGTATACAATACATAAGTTTCTTATTTTGGCACGCTTTGGTAATGTCAAAAGACAAAGATTCCGAAGAATCGCATACGATTCTGTCGGTCGTCCGAAGGAATATCTAAATATCTGTACTATTTTTCATACTTTATCGCTTTCATACTTTATCGGTTGATCTCGTTATCAGCCACTGTTTCCAACTCGGGTGCTTCGTCGGGAACGGCTCTGTCCATTTCACCCGTCCACTCGATAATGCTGTAACCAACCATTCCAACGCACAATATCCCGAACAAAAGGTACAGCTTCGTATAGGTACACAGGTACGGAATGTAGATGTACGTTATCACAGAGCCAGTGGACTCCCACAAGCGGAAGTTGGAGAAAGCTGCCTCTTCTCGGCCGGGGAATAAAATGCCGCTTAAGGCTGCAAATTTCAAGGCGCTCGTTAATTGACACAAAGTAAATACTAGATCGTTGCGAATCTATTCTCTGACGTGGCATATTTTTTTCTTCTTTTTTTTTTTTTAAGAATTGTTAGAATTATAGTTAAAACTGTTGTACTGTCGGTTGGTACACCGCTATTAATGGATCGCAACATGTGCATCCGTTGGTACGATCTTACGTACGTAGCGGATAAACTAGGAAACGCGAGAGTTACCGTCACACGGTGATTTTGCAACGATTAGCCACGCAAAGAGTAAAGGTAGAAAGTTCGATGGTCTGGTATCTAGGACAACGTGGTAGCGATACAATTATCCGAATGTAACGAACACTCTCATTAAGGACGCGCTTGCATGCGATTGTAGTGCATTCAAGCGTAACTCTATCTACGTACAGTTGACTTGCACCAGCCAGATCGAGTCGCACACACCCCATAAACCAGACACCAGAAAGAAGATGACACCTTGCTCAGGCGTCGGTTTCCACTGTAACATGAAGATCAAGATGCCCGAGTGCAAAAAGAATGCGAAGATCATCACGGGCTTCCTGCCAGTCAATTTCACGATGGCTCCTGTGGCGAGTGCGGCTATGGCGTTCGTCACTCCGAAGCATATCATCACGTAACCGATATTACTAATTCCCCAAGCGCACGAGACGAACGACTGTAATGGATAGAAAATATTATCGCTCTTTTATGACGAAAGCTCTCCCATTTCCGATGTACTCGTCAAATTTTATGGAATAAATTTTCATTGGAAAAATAGCGTGACAATCGTGTCATGCAAATTCGAGTGGCGACTCTACGCAAAGCGATCTCTCCATTCTGTATCGTTGTGAATGAATATTTTCATTCGATATTGAAACACAAATTCCCAACGTTACGGGAAGAAGTTCTTTTTAATCGGCTGAAATATTCAATCATATGGATTGAAAATTTATTTTAAATTTAAGTCAAATATTTATCTTCCTGTAATTGTATTTTTGGTGATATCTATATTGTTGCTTTAAGCAAATTTTTATTCACTTCAATTTTCAATTCGAGGAGATTTCAGCATAAGCGGTAACTTTGTTTCATTCACGCTTTTCCGTTTTTTCTTACAAGTAGTGTGTGTGTGTGTGTGTGTGTGTGTGCGCGTTCGCAGGTGGGTGAGTGGCTTACTCACCGCATTGTAATCGGCGAATAAAAAGGCCTGTTCAGCACCGATGAACATCGTTATCGGTAATATCAACAGTTGGCTCTTCTCTTTCAATAACTTTAATGTCACGACCAACAGCTTGAAACCAGACGAGCTTTTCACCGATCGGGCTCTGTTCCTGTCGTACCTGTTGGTGCGAAACAAGTATTACACCGTGTCAGAAGCGAAACTTCCATACAACATATTGCGTTGAGCAAGTACAACGTTTCAGTACCTTCAAAGGGTGATCAAAGTGTCGGGACGTGAGATCTCGTACCTGGTCAAGGAATCGACTCCGAACGTTATTATCAGGCAGGCTAATATCATGCAGGCTAGATAAATCCCGGAGATCAGGTGTATTCGTTCCACCGGCGGTGACTGCAAATTCGGGTTCTCGTGCTTCGCGTCGGATATTCCGCAGAAATTTGCACCGCAAGTTTCCGCCACGACGCTGCTATTCAGAGTCGAATTCGCGGCGACCGTGTCGACACCGTAAGAGAGGACTGTGATGGTAAGAAAGAAGAAAGAAATACAGCAAGAGCGAAATAAAAATGAAATATAAATATCAATGACAAAATTATCTTTGCAGATTGGTCACTCGCGAGCATTGCGAAATAACATTTGACGGCCGCGCTGGAGAAACATGCGCGAGAATGACGCATCGCAGGGCTGCTGATTATTATGCTGACGATTCTTCTGTCGCAAGTGGGCATATTTGTATATTTAAGTAAGCCGAAATATAGCAATTAGAATGCTCGGGCAATTCTTATTATGCGGTCTGTGTTCATTATTCTAATTCCTCAATTGTGACGCCAGCGGCTGAAAATTCACCTTCATCGACGTTCGCGTGTTTTATAGCTTGACGGTCACGCATTCATATCGCATGCTGCCGCGCCCGCACGGCAAGATTGCACAAGCAATCTGCAATTTTGCCAAACCGTGATATTCCCATGAAATGTTTAATAAAATGACGATCGAATAATTACAAGCTGAACGCGCCCGGTCTCACCCTATGAAGTGAATAAAAGAAGCTTCCTTCTGGCGATTGAAAAGATTACAAGAGGTTCGCCCTTCAGGCGATGACAGTTGTTATGACGCCCATCGATCAACTTACGTAATCACAATGTAGTAAGTTACGGTTAATCAGATTTTTTCTCGTGTTTTGCGTTGAAGAAAAATCACGTGAACGTGCGCAATCCCGTTGCATAACGGATACATCGAACATGTAACACAATATATAAAGGGTACGCGTTTAAACATTTGCGTGCGTTCATGGCAATAAATTCTGCATCCCGAAGCGGCTCACGTGCGTTCCTATTTTACATACGCTGCAAGGCACAGCGGCGATTATCAACTAATGCTTGCATAATCAAATTGATAGACTACTACTCGCGAAGTAGATATTGTCCATGCGCGCCAACAATATACATGTATGAAATATATGAAATATAAACCTTACGGCAACGTCGCAAGATGTCACATGGCGACGCGGATAAACCCACCTGCTGAAGATATAAGATTCCCCCACACCTGCGCCATTTGATAGAACATAAAGAAGAGGCCGAAGAACCTCGTGACGAGAACATCCACGGTCATGTCTGAAACGCTCGCGTAGACCTCCGCCGCCACGGTCAAGTAAGTGCATTTTGCGCACCACAGCGGCCCTCCGCCCAAGCCGACGGACAATCCGGTGGGGATCATCGTGTAAAACTTCGGGTAAAACTGAGCAGCTATGAACGGCATATAGGCCAATATGGAGACCGACATTGTCCACTTGCAGCCCAACCAACTGCAATAGAATTGCACAAATGTGAATGGGGAGGAGGGATCGGTGAAATTGCTTTTTATTAAAAAAGAAATATTTTCTAGACACTTGGCGCTTTCGGTCCTGCTTTCTTTTTTGTTTTCTGAAAAATTTCAGATACGGTGAGACGTAGATGTCTCGATTTGACATGCGGAGCGGCATACTAAAAATTTTTCGTTTCTGTTTTCAGGTCACATTAAACGCGCGAAGAGACTCGCGCTGTTTTGGAGCCTCCAGGCGAGTGCGTTGAAGCTTGTGGCCATTTCGCTGGTGGCGAAATGCCAGTGCCGGAGACCGCTGGATTTGCTGGACTAATAATACCGGGCCAAGGTGAAAACGACAACGCGTGATGAAGTTTAGTGCTTGTGGGACTGCGCACGGGACTGGTCGTTTCGCGTACGCGGGAAATACACCCAGCATTTCCAGCGCCCACAGTGATTCAAGGTTCCTCACGTCACGAGCGACTCGCCGCATAACTTTCCGAAGGATTCTTCTATTCGTTTTTCTGTCGCAATACCCGCGGCGACGGCGACGCGACTATCAGATTCAAACTCGGCGGATCTCCGCTCCGGCCCGTTTAAGCGCAGGATATTTATCACCGGCGATCATGAGTGCAGCCAAAATATAGCCGCGTCGCTATCGCCGACGACGAGTCAAAGCGGCTGGTTCTTGATGTATTCGGCCCATTATGCGAGGGCACACGCGTCAGCAATGTACAAATGATACGAGACGTAAGCGGGACTGAGGGTATGAGGAGGAAGAGGAGGAGGAGGAGGGATGTGAAGGGGGAAAGAGGGAAAATTATCTATAAGACTCACCTTATGATCAGGGCGGGTAGAAAAATATTGCTGAACAGCAGACTGCCGTAAATCGCCGACAACGTGAACGTGCCGAGCGACTGATCGGCGTTAACCGAGCTCTGCAGGTTCGCGGCTCCCATGAACGCGGTGAAGTTCATCATGAACGCGCAGCTGATCGCCAGGATGTTTCGCATGATTCGCCATCGTTCGGACGGCTCGAAACTAAGGCTCGGCACCTTCACGAATTGTTCCGACAATTCAATTTTGTCGACCGCCATGTCTCCGATGCCGATCGATGCGCGATATAAATTTCCCTCGGAGATGCGCGCTCAATCGCTCGCAGGTGTGTATGTATGTATGTGTGTGTGTGTGCGCGCGTGTGTGTGTACCCACGGCGACCGCTTCTTCTTTTGCTATTTCGTCTCACACGCTCATCTCCGAAAGTGCGCGAGAGATATTCGGCTGTATCGATTCCGTCGGCGAGGCGTCGCCGCTGAAATCGTCCCGCTCGTACAGTCTGAGAAATGAAAAAAAATGCGACATCATATGCGGATCAAATGGATTATCATGCGCATAACTATCGTCATTGATGTGCGCGTATAATCGGAACATGCATTTTATTTCGCGTGACTCGTGGTCGAGATTACCGTTTCAATATTTCTCACTTTTTCTCCTCTTTTTTTCTTCTTTTCTAGTTGCAGTGCATCTCAACCGTCTGTGAATTAATAAGCCTCATTATCTCGATCGCGACCGCCGCTCGAGGAGAATCGGCAAACGATTATGGCACGCTGTGAAATTAAAATCAGAGAGCTGAATATTCAGATTTATTCTCGTAATCGTTGAGCGACCACGAGATTTGCATGAATCAGTAGCGATTTCAAGGCAATCAGTGGACGAGGAAACGACGTAAACGCGACATATAATATATGATAAATCAATATTGTTTTATGGACACGCGGACATTCCTGTCAGCCACTCGCAAGCGTGTTCGTTGTTTAAATGGCAAACTACGGTCGCTCAACACGTGTCGTTACAACACGTACGAGATTAGTGGGTGAAGGGGAGCGAGGAGGAGCGTGCTCTCGAGCTCCACGACCGGCAATCTCCGAAATTTTTATTCCACTCCGTACCCGAAGATCTTACTCCCCTTCATCCCGGGATATTTCCTGCCGCTTGCCGCTTAGACATGGCGTTTCATACAGGCACGTGACGACAACAATAACAAAAAAAAGAATTCCCAACCCGCGAGCGCGACCGATGGGATTGCGTAACCATTTTCTGCTCGATCTCGATGCCGCGACAAGATACGATTCCCCAGGCATCGATAGGCAATCTGTCCTTGGGAACGGGTATCCTTGTTCCTTTCACGCAGCGTAATCGCAGCTGATACAATTTCCATTTCGATCGCGCACACCGCTCGGAATAAGTAATACACCGATCGCGGATTGGGAAGCCTATCATACGAAAATGGATGCACATAACGACGACGGCGACGACGGCGGCGACGGCGACGGAGGTTTATCGACGAAACGTCGTACGGATTTCCCTGACGGAAAATCGGTAACGGAAAGCGAGGACCCCGTTGCCCACGCTGACATCAACAGTCCTCGGCTGCCGGGCGTTACACACGTGCTTGATCCTTCGAGATATCTCTGGTGCATCGCAGCGACGGCTGAATCTACGTTTCATATTACGAAAAAGTAGAGCGTTCAGCGTCGCTGTGCGATCGAGGCGATTCAGGGTAATCGACTGGCCGCTGAGATCGCAGGTAATCGATTTATCTAATCGATTGATCTAAATCGATTTATCTAATCGATTGATCTAAATCGATTTATCTAATTAATTCAGGCCATTAATTTGAGTCGAGTTAACGTTCTCTATTTTTATTTTTCATTTCGTTCCATATTAATCATTTGTAGTGGAGTATTTGTGCAACAACGACACGAGATGTTTCTCGTCGATACGGCGACTAACTGAATATCGCGAAACATATACGGATTTCCGAGGGCTTTCAATCTTGCCGATGTTCCGCTAATGCGCGGTTTTTTGCAGGTTTCATATAATTACAGGTTTCACTTGAAAGAATGGAGAACGTCGCGTGAAATCGATATGCATTTCATGAGAAAAAAGCGAAATATTAACATAACTGGTTACCAGGCGGAAAGTAATTATTATTCACACTCGCGATCGTGAAAAACAAGTCATGCTTCTACAAGATGCTAATCAAACAGAATATTAAATGATACTTGGAGCTGCTGTACTCGCAGGCATGATGAACGGTAAAGCTGGCGGGGCGGTCGATAATGGCTACGTTGACCCCGTTACACCAACGATGTAAATATGACAATGTTTAAATAATAATCGGACAACCGCGCTGTCGCGCGGTAACGTAATGTACACCAATCGGTCCGCTGTCACGGTAAATTCGCGGTATCAAAGCGCAGGCTCTAATGTACAAAAACGGACTGAGACTTGCGCGTGCGATCACGCTTCTCTATAGTGCGCGGTGCGGTTCAACTTGTCTCGGCCACATCATGTCATTTTCACTGTACTGTCACTGTCGAGCGCAATCACGTAATTCCATTGAACGGAGTTCTCACGAACGATAATACGACGATTAAATATTCTACACGTTTCGTATAAAGCAGAAATATCGCGTAGTTAGATTACAATCGCTCTCAGCCGGACTTAGCAAGACCCATGCGTAAATTACGAGAAATTCCCACATCCAATATATATATTTTCCGCACGGTACCGGTTTCGAGCACGTGCCTTCGCGCTGATCACTCGATTCATCTCCTGAACGAATTAACGCCGCAAGGTTACGCCCGTTTCTTCTTTTCCTTCTTTCTCAGCGTCCTTTTTTTGCAGTATTAAATGACGCAGATTTCGAATATTAAAAATATTTAAAATAGTAAATATAAATTAAGTAATGTGTGTGTGTGTGTGTGTGAATAAATCACATACATAAATGTAAAATATATAAAGATAGATTGAATATAAAGATAAATTAAATATTGGAATTAAATGAATTAAAAAGTATAAAAAAAAGAAAAAATACTTGAAGTTCCGTGAATGTGTTAAACGACGAAGTTCTAGACGAAGAACAGAGGAACTGAAAAGAGCGAGAAAGAAGAGACGATTTAATTTACGTTAATGATCCAGCTTTGTTCAATCTATACGCGGGAAATATTTTAATTACGATAACAATTACCGCGCCGTTGGCTCTCACACCGCAACGTATCTGAGCGCCGTTTCAAGCCAGGCTTTCTTGTTTCCTACCGAGAGAGACCGATCCTTCGTGATTATCGCGGCATGGAGCAACTTCACGTTCGCTTATTTAAGCGCGACGAATCGAACGATACTGGCTGTGAATGAGCAGCAGGATCAAACGTTTACAACTGACCCCCACCCACACTTCACCTGCCTTCAGGTAAGTATGATATATATCGACGGCGAGACTCGGAGTTAGTAGGGATCGCGCGACGCTTATCGAATTCACGTCTCGGCTATCTGTGTCCGAGGCGCGTGTCATGCCATTATGTCTTAATCGTAGAGCCTTTAAGCCGTGTAATCACCTCGATTAACTATCGTCCATTATCCACGGCGGTTACAGCCTCGTTGATCTGTTCGTGTTCCATGGCGCGAGCTATCTGTAACGACTTGGGTAATCTTGGAACAGTGACACTTACATTTCCCGATAACAAACAAGACGCCATGACCCGCGACAGCCTCCTTCAAGAACGGATCATATCACAAAGGGGCCTTTCTCCGATGCAACGTCGAGATTAAGGATTGAGATGAGGACCGAATATTAGAAGCGCGCGCGTGCTCCTCCTCTCTCTCTCTCTCTCTCTCTCTCTCTCTCTCTCTCTCTCTCCGCACATCAAAGAAAGAGAATTTCGAACGGTGCAAGTGGACGATACAGGATTTGGAGGATTTGGAGGAAACGCGTCGAGCATGAGTCGGGCACTGAAATCGAAACAATGGCGAGGAAGAGATGCGCGCGAAAATCAAGCGACACGAAAGCCCGAATATTACGAGCTGTAACGAAGCGGTATCTGCATGCGGCACGTATCCCCGGAATTCTACCGGCGAGATCGAGAGCGTCAATCCGTCCCGGTAGCAGCGCGGGATTTAATCGTCGGACACGCGAACCTAATTCGCTGCAACTGATTTGGTGAAGCCGATTTCGGTGATACGCAATAGGCGACATTCTGACGATGGCTTTGACCAGAAGCGGATACATCGATCCGTAATCATCATGTGAGTTGCAAACCATGCACGCGAAACGAGCAGAAATTATAGTAATTAATTACAGCGTTGTTGCGTTTACAACAGACGCGAACGGAACGCCGGGTGGACGCGGACTCCGCCTTCCGGGCATAGCTTCGCTCGTTCGCTCGCTCGTGCCGCGTGTCGATTTTCATAACTTCCACTTAATAAAAATGCACCGGGTTACTACGAAACTTTTTTAAACCGCTCTAAGTAAAAACTTAAAATTACAAAGCTGTAACGTCGTAGAGCTGCGTGAGATATTGCGTTTGATCAATAAAGTTTTGATACTTAAACGGGACGAAGAGAAAACGAGCGAGAAGGAGAGGGAGAAAGAGAAAGGAGAGAAAGGAGAGTCTCCCGCGATAAGAAAGACTAACGGAGCTCCTTCACGGCTGTGTTTATTAATCGTCAGGATTAATCGCGGAGCAGTCTATCGAGTTTCCCGGAGGAATTTATTTCGCGCGTACCCTCCAAACATCCGATTCTTTTAGTCCATTTACGCTTATTCGTTGTATCGCAGCCGCTGGTGGCGCGGTAAACAATCGCCTTTCCTCATCGATTATTAACAAAAGCGAGTCGTCCATTAGCGCGCTTTCGCGCCAGATAGCCGGGATAAAAGTATGTTTGAGAATATATTGAGAAACGTGTCGCTCGCGCGTTCTGCTTCATCCTTAATTAAGCTCGTCGCGTTAATTCAGCGCGATATTTAATTAGACGAGAAGGGAAAAAGGAGATTGCATTATTCATCTGTCGTTGCATCGGTATACGGATTGTGCATCGTTGCATTGTTTATTACTTGTAAAAATTCATCGTTCATCGATAATTACATCTATCGTACATGCTATCGTATGATCGCTACGAGGCGATGAATTATTATCTGTGCGGTAATTAGCCGTAATTAATGTCCGTACGCCAAATCCGCTTACGTATGTTACGTATGTTACGTCGTAAATGCGCACAGCGTACCGTGCGTTCATGCTACGCTAAATAGCCAGCCGGCTGCTCTTTTCGCCGACTGTTTCGGACTGTTTTAGAATTTTCGGCGAAAGTGTCCGGGACACAGAAAATGAAATAATGGACAAATACCTCGCGCAGTCAAAGAGGGCGGAGGCTTCGCAAGAGCGGGATGTGTAAATATAATCTTCCTCTGCGCTTCCTCTGTATTCCAGCTGCGAACTTAGCCGGAGCGCCCCGTAAATTTTATTTCACTTTCACGTCACTTTTCACAGTCGTAAACGCGATTTTCACTTTCGATGCGTGATCACGGTTTCTCACACTGATGTTGCCAGTTTCCGCGTGTGCGCGCATCGTAAATTGCGGAACAGCCAAATTAAGAACGTCGGCAGTGCTCAATTTCTGTTAATTCGTCGAATTTAATTTTCGCCGCGCAATCTGCAAGATTTAGCGATGTGTCGCGAGATATGGTCTTCTTTTTCGCCCGTACTGTTTCAATCAAGAGATGATTCATAAGAGCTGTCGCGACCTACCGCGAAAAATTCTCGGGAAACGTGCGGACGCATTTGCACTTTTGCTACTAAAAATATGAACCGTGTTATTTATGTACGCGAATAAATTACGCACGATCATCCCGTTCCATAATTTCCATCTGCGATGATACAGGGCGCAGAATAGCCCAACACATCGCATTTCGCTCAAAATTGCATAAATCTCAGAAATTTTATTCGCATTCCTGGAAATTTATCGCCTTCCGAATTATCGGAATCACCTTCCGGATATTAATCGATTTCCGGACGGAATACAAAATATATCGCTCATCAAGAACAGCGCATTAAATGAAAATTTATTCTACCACGTAAACGGCAAAATTGAAATTCTCGCTTTCGAATTCTACCAGCGCGCGTTTCACGTTTCAGCATTTTAACGTTGCCATCATAGAAAATTGATTTTCGGACTAACATCCTGCCAACGTGCTCCAACAAAGCGCTCGCTAGATTATTCAAAATGGATGGCACTGATTTCGCGCGCGCGCGCGCGCGAGAGAGAGAGATATATCTGTTCCGATATTGGCTGGTAGAAATATCTCATATTAGTTTACTCTCGCCACGGCAAGATATTTCTATCAGTCAATATTCGGTCATATTTAGGGATACACCTGGAACGTCGATGCTAGGATACTTCAATTACAAGAGCAAGAGACCATGAAGCGGATATACGTTGTGGCGCACTTCGTGGCATACATATGCTGCATATCAACGGAAATTGCGCGTCGGGGGTGAGTTTCGCTCCACCGAGGCCGTTACATTCGTTAGCAACGAAAAGCAGGATGGAAACTCGCTGTGGCTACATTGTACATCCTCGAGATGCGTAAAAGCGATTACGTATAATTTCGAAAGCGCAGGGAGAGAGAGAGAGATTATTGCATCTAATAATGATTTGTTCAATACTTCACTTGATACAAAATAAACAAATTGCGCTCTCTATGATTTGCATCGCAATTAATGTTAGGTTATTTTTTGACAATTTTCTATTCAAATATTGTAATAAGGATCAATAATGCGCTTATAGCGTTTCATTTTTATCTAAAAAAAAAATGTATGATTTATTATATTTTTGTAGGATTTTGATTGACTATCCTGATGTATTTGTTAATTAAATATGATAAAAAATGTATAACCTTAATATTACGCATAATCTTACCATTACCAATATAGAAGAGGCATAAGCAATGAATAACACCCATGTCCATAGTCAGACCTTATATTTAAGACTTCCTTAAGTTTATCTTCAGATGGTCTGTAGCCAATAAAATAATCCATGCAGCATCTAAAGATGGATATAAGGAGATCTCAAATATAAGGCCTGACTATGAATACGGGTATAAATAAGAGGTTTTCGAGTCTTGCCCGATAAGCGTCACGTGACCTTGCGCCTAATATATATGTGCGTGCGGAACGGCGAAGCGATCATAACAATCCTCCGGGCAAAGTCGAAAACATCGGGAGACAGTTACGCGCTATTTTCGACTTTCCCAAGTTGATTAGAGTGTACGCGGGATGTGTTAGATTATTCCGCGCGTTCGATCATCGTGCCATCATCATTCCGAGGAATCCTGGAATTTTATAACGGTGACTATCACTTCATTTTTCTTATTTTCCAAAAGAAATATTCATTCTCGAGCCTTTATCTTCTCGATTGCGTTTGCTATTTATTCACATAACTGACCAAGAAACTTGCTTTTTGTTTCAGATCTGCCTGAGCTTGTGGCCTCGCGATGGGTACAGTTCCCGGGGGTGTAATTTCGGTGGACATGGACATCGTAGAGGAGGAACTGGTCCTGGTCGGACCGAGCAGGATAGGCTCGAAGGTATGCTTATAGACCTGTCCCGTAGATACCATAAAAGTCCATATAAATTCATTCTTGTTTATTTATTTCTCGCGACGTTGCTCAAGTGACGTCGGTACCGCGAATGTGTCATTACACGCGTTGCGTATAAACGACAGTTCGAATATGAAGCAGGCATGAAATAGTGTGATTACGAGTATTACGAGATCATGTGAAATATCACGATATAAAACACGTGAAATAAATGAATGAGTATCGTAACGGTGCTTACAAGCGGCTCCCACCGGCTGAAGGTCGCGCGACTTTGGAACAATAACATATATGTATATAAGTACGCGGTGAGAGTGAGCAATCGCAGTAGTCCTTGACTCGAGGGTAAACAGATCGGAAGACGTCTCGTGCGTTATCTTCAGCTTTTTTCGGGATCGATCGGAGCGTGAGACGCATTACGTGACTACGGCACATGCGATCATTTTGCTGGAATAAACTTGAGCAGCGACGGCATCCTGAAATCTCAAGGGTGACTACCGCCTCTCTCTCTCTCTCTCTCTCTCTCTCTCTCTCTCTCTCTCTCTCTCTCTCTCTCTCTCTCTCTCTCTCTCTCTCTCTCTCTCTCTCTCTCTCTCTCTCTCTCTCTCCTCTCTCTCTCTCTCTCTCTCTCTCTCTCTCTCTCTCTCTCTCTCTCTCTCTCTCTCTCTCTCTTCTTATTTCTAATTTCAGTTTCAGAGAAAAATATATAACGAAAAGTTTCCAAGAAAAATATATCATTTTCAGCCTCTTTATTTC